GAACGAATTCTAAGCACACTGCTCAAATTAATAAGAATTCAAAACTCAAGGTGATCCACAAAGGGTGAGGAATGTGGTGGTGGTATACACATAGGAAGCACTGGTGAATCTCTTTCATCGGGAAGATGACAATATCACCCTGATGTGCTGAGATGGTGGAAAAAGGCAGATTTGCACCGCATCCGGGTACTCCATTCGCATGAGGACTGCTTCACTTTCCTTCCTGAAACCCCGTTTGCTAAACTCTCTTTCGATCCGCAGGAATGGCAACAAAATCCGGCAAGTAAAATGAGGGTAAACCAGACTTTATTCACCTTGTCAGTGAAATCTGCCTACCGCCTCCTGAGACCAAGGATAAATGTGAAAGACATTGCGAGAGGGTGATGGCCCATCTGAATGTGGGAAGGGGCGCAGTTCGACCCGTCCGACGGTTTAAGGCCACAAGATCCGAACCGGCGAAACTGGCCTCGCTGCAGTGGCAAATAGAGCATCGCTGCCTCCCTACAAACAATTGGCTAATAGATCGAACCTACCTAAAACAAAAGGGCTTAGCGCTGTCATGGTGTCACTCCTGTTCGGCCTCCTTCCTCATCGTAAGATCGCTGAAACCATAGAGAGCACATCTTTCTGCAGTGCCTGAGGGCGATTCTGACATGGCGCCGGTGGGACAGGACCTGGCGACAGCTCGTCACTACATCCACATGGCCATGGAACTGGAGAGCCCCCTTATGTGAAGCCTGGTCTTCTCCCACGGACTGTCCTTTTGAAAATAATATGTCAGGACGGGGAGGAGAGCTGTCGTTTGGGCCCTTCAGCGGAAAAGGTGCATACACACGATTGAAGGAGTCAGAATAGAAGGGGAAGAGGTCACCGAAATGGTTAAGCAATATATTCAGGAAGAAATCATGGCACAGTGGCAAAGTGTGCAAGCAGAACTGGATCTGTTTCAAATGAAAAAGGACATAATGCAAGCCATCAAACAGCTTTCCAGGGAATGGATTGGGAAGGATGGCAGGATAGCCCACATTCGTTGGGAGGGAGGACAGTCTCCGGAAGGGGGTGGCGACGTGCTCAGAAGGGACTATGGTATCTGCTTTAATGACTGGACCAAGGTAAATGTGGCGGTTCCTCTGCGTCCTCCTCCTGATTTCCCCGATCCCTTTCCACCCCAAGGCTTCTCCATCATGGATCTACAGTGGTACGGAGCGTTGCAGGCTTTACCTGCTCAGTCAATCCCCCCTGGTTTCAATCCTACAGTGGTAATCAATGCTGGCAGAGTGGCAGTGAGTTCAGCTGTCTGCCAGTGATATACTGGAGGAAGGTGGGGATGACGTCAAGTCCGCATGGCCCTTCTGGGCTGGGCTAGGTAGTCCAGCAGGAGAGTAAGCACAGCTCCGGGGCATGTCATGATAGCGGATCTGCAGGAGAGCATCTCTATCTCTGTATACCAAGAATGATGACAATGTTCGGGGACGCTGGACCCGGTTTCCAGCAGGTGCTGCTCCCCACCAATAGACGACAATGCTAGGGGTGCCTGCTCATCATAGCATCCACCCGGGGGATAAAAATAATAATAATATAAATTATATGCAAGGAAAATGAGCAACAGCGAGATGACAAATCCAGATTACACAATCACATTGAAAGCCAGATAGTCACACCGTGTCCAGAGAGCAGCATCGCACCAATAATACACCAAGTACTGAAAACCAATGTCAAGGAGAGCTTTCTCTCTCCACACCAACACAAGAGTCCAGTCCCTCCACTCTCCTACTTGGCGCTCAGCGCCCAGCCTACTCCTACACAGCTATTATCATCCTACTAATTGACAAAGCAACTGTTGACATCAGCGGCAACCCGAAGTACTTGAAGATGTCGCCCAATGCAGACCATCGCCAATACAAGGTATGTGCCCTTACATCATCATCATCATCATCATCATCCTTCACCCTTCCCTGACTTTACACCCACATCTTCCTCCCTTACACCCAAAGACCACTCATGCGCCTCACTGTAGTCCAAGCCTGTCAGTTATGGCGGCTGGGCTATGGCGCTGCCCTCAGCAGCGCCCTTCTTCCCTGCACGACCGCACGTGCTGCACCTCGCCTCTCAGCGCCAGCAGCAGCCCACGAGCCTTTGCTCCAGCAGTGCTGCCGCTAGCATGCAAGTGCCTGAATGAGGCTGAGAGTGGCGAGCTCTTTCCTTTATGGAAAGAGCCTGTCTGCTTCGCAGCCTGGCTGGGTTGGGCCTGGGCCCGGAAGCTTCCGGTAGGCCCCGCCCCAGGATGCTGCGTGCTATTTTGCAGCTACTGGGCCGCTTTCGGTTGGGCCTCCCAACTGTGTTCAGTGTATGAGGCTGCGTTTCTCGCCCAGGACCTGCATTCTTCGGAAAGGCCCAGAAGGCCATGGAAATGTCTTTGTTGCTCGGCCTGTGTTTCTCTCAACCAACTGGCGTGTCGCAACTGCCTGTAATATTGAATTGACAGTCAAAGGCCTCTTATGATATGTTAGGCCCGCCTTCACTTAGGGCGGGCACCACTGCAACCGGGTCCCCTTAGGCCTGCCGAGGACCCAGATCCTCGCATATATTATAAATAAATAATAAATAAAAAATTGAGTAGTGATTTCGCTAAATAGTAAACACGATGAGGACTCTGTTTTTGCTGAGAGGCGGTTAATGGAAGGCCCAGAATTCGGCGAATTTTAGCAAATTTTTCATCGAAACTGCCATATTTTTAGGAAGTATCAGTTGGCCATGTAGGTTACCTTTTAATTGTTTTTTCATGTGGAACCATCAAAGGTATACATTTTTTACTAATAAGTGCTTTCATTTTTATGTAATAATAATAATGACCATCAGTGTAAGTAGCACCTGCTGGAAACCGCGTCCAGCCTCGCATTGTACAGTTTTTTCAACCTCTACCTCGGGGCCATTACCCGGTTTTTGCTATAAAAACTCATCGGAAAAAAGAACGAAGATGCGACAAGTGCACACCGTCTCTTCAGCCTCCTGTGACCGTTGGATGGACAAAAGTGCTGCTGTCTGTGCCCCGTCTCCCTCAACTTCATCTCAGCGGCTGCTGCCGTACCACTGTAGATCCAGCCGCAAAAGTTGGTGGGTTCACTTGGGTGGGACGAGGTCTGGGAATTCCGAATTCCAAAGGGGGCCGCGACTGTACTGGTGAACCAATCCTGGGGTGCAGTCCTTGATAACCAGGCCGTGGTCAGCCACTCTTTGGTCCAGTCCTTAAAAGACTGCAGCTCAGAAGAGACTACAGCCTGGAGTTAAGTCTCCTCTGAGCTCTTGTTTGTTTGGTCGGTCTCCTTCCCTCCAGTGGGCACTACCGTCTTCCCCCGAACATAACGCACCCTAAAAATGAATGTATACAAGATATATTTCCCGCCAGATACAGCCAAAATGAGGGTGCATTGTGTTCGGGGGAAGACGGTAGGTAGCAATCGAGCCCCTTGGGTCACCGCCCCAACCATTCTTCCAAGCGTCGTCTGTCAAATCTTTCTCTTGGTGTGATATAAGGTCCAGCTGCATGTTCATCTTCAGCCATTGTTCAGTCGCCTTATGATTTCTGTAAATTCATCACCTTCCACCCAGGCGTCCGCTAACATGGGTATGCACCGCCTCCCCCAAAGTGACCAGAGGACGGCTCTGCTCCCTCGTTTGAACATGTTTTCCTGAAAGGTGCCATCTTGTGGGGAACAGCAAGTTCCACACAAGAGTGCTCTCCACTCCCATGGACAGGCGGTGCTGGTCGCCAATCGGTCCCATATCCGGTCCCACCATCGCCATGTGAGGACTGGACCCTGGCACTCTAGGAATATATTGCGGGAGGGCAAACTGTTGTGCCATGACTGGCACCATAGATGTGCCACCCCTTGTGCGGTCTATCAACCAGTCGTTGGTGGGAAGACAATGGGTGGGACCCCTTTTGGCAGGTGTGATCCTGGTTACAGTGTGCACCAACAGATGGGGCCAGATCTCACATCTGTCCAAGGCAAGGCTACCAGCCGGGCCGCCCGGGTCCTGGGTGCCCAGCCCGTGCAAGGACCAGGGAAGGTCCCAGCACAAAAAAAAAAAAAAAAAATCTGAAAAAAACTTTTTAAGTATGTTATCATTGTTATGCCGAAAAATAAACTCAACAACTTTTGCCTCAGGGTTACATCGAAATTCTTCACCAAATTTACAATAAAAATTATTAATATATTGGCCGGGCAAGTGACCCCGGGCCACTCTGGTAGCCTAGGCCCAACGTCAATCTCTCCACGCATCTGTCTGAAACGAGCCATCCACGTGGTCGCATGCCTTCTCGAAATTGATCACGACGAAGGCTTCCCCGTTTGCGTTTGGACTGTTACATTACAATTGGCAGTTCGTTGACTCGTAAGATATTGGCTTGAATTCATTAACTTCGCTCCACACTAGACAACACATGACATGCATTCGGATGTTTCTCTGGACCAGGTGCACTCAAACGAATCCTACGTTCTGAATGCATCTGGTCCACAGAGCATCCAGATGCATGAAGAGTGTTGACTGTAGTAGAGCAAGGCCTATATTCAAATCATTGTAAACTGAACATGCTTCGCAACATTACACATATGCAAATCGTTGTTGCGACGAGGGACAAGTTTTCGGTCTTGGAGACGACGGTTTTGGCCAGCCCTGAAAATCCTGAAAAAAAATGATCCTGAAAAGTTGAAAACTGAAAAGACTCAAAAGAGTGAATTTTGCATGAAAACACACATTTGCCATGCATGGGTTTTAACTTTTAAGACCCCTTTGTTCTTTTTCTTTTTTTTTTTCTTTTTTTTCCTGTTGGTTTATTTGGTGTCCACTCTATGGACTGTTGACAAGTCTGGCTACAAAGGTGAGACAGGTTAGTAATAATAATGACCCTGAAAAAAAACTGAAAATTAAGGGGTCTGTTAAACCCCTTCTTGCAAATCAATAAACATCCTTGCCCAAAGGGGGAAGCAGCATCCCCCCTACTTATTCAACCTTTACTTTCAAGAAATAGTCCACAAATCAAGGGGTCTGTTAAAGATGTGGAAATGGGCAAAACAGGGCAAGGAAAAAAGAAACGAAACTTTTTTGGAGACTGCTTCCCCCCGCTGCACAAATTTCAGGAGATATCTAATACCCACACACACTCTCTCCCTTTGACACCACACCACCTTAATACACCCTTCCCGAGTCGCTACACTGAAAAAAATGCTGTGTCCACGAGACTACCCACAGCCACTACCACAGCCACTACCAATTTCAAAAACAATGCTCTCTCTCTCTCTCTCTCTCTCTCTCTCTCTCTCTCTCTCTCTCTCTCTCTCTCTCTCATCTATCTATCTATCTATCTATCTATCTATCTATCTATCAAATTCACCGGTACTGGATGTGCCTACAGAAGTGCATGTTCTACATACTCCCATTTTGCTGACAAAAACCAACCACCACAATCCCCTACACCTGCACTTCCTCTGGGCACATCACGTGCGCCGGCACATGGCCCCCCGTAAAGAGTTTGAAGTGATTTTAGTATCCTTTTACCCTGCCCCTCATGGCAGATTGATACACGTCTCTCTCTCTCTCTCTCTCTCTCTCTCTCTCTCTCTCTCTCTCTCTCTCTCTCTCTCTCTCTCTCTCTCTCTCT